CATCAACACTGGCGAATGCAGTTGAACAATATACAAACCACTCTATTTATAGCTACAGATAGGGCTTTGTCTTTATATCACCAACTGGAAATATAAAGACCATGCAGTTCTTTCATATATGTTCTCAATTATAATGATCACTTATAAGGCTTGTATCTAATACATGCCTTCTTTCAGTTAAACATTCTTTGAAAAATGAGGAATGTATTATTTTACTTCCAAATAATTATATAACTATAACTTTGCAAAAACAGGATTGTATTAAAAGATGAGCTAAATTGAATTATTGCCCCATGACATGGTTTAAAGGATAATATTATTCCAATTATCCTAACAAAAGGATTATCATAATACACAGTGGCTCTTTCAGAGGGATATCACTATATGCATGAAATATACTAACAGCACCCTAATAATCAGAATTCATGACTAAAGAAGCTTACAAAATCTTATTTCCAACTAGCATACAAATACAAACCCTTGAATTATTTCCACAATATGCCTCAGAGCACTTGTTTATTTGTTTTAACACTTAAGAAAAAAATTATTTTCTCTTTAAACATACTCCCAAAAAAAAAAAAAAAAAACATACTCCCCACAGAATTCTTTCTTGCAGAAAGGAGCAGAGTCAATATAAATAATTAAGAATTGCTTCTTTTTTTTGTGAATTTTGAGTCATCTTCCTCAATTAATTCTAATATATTAATATATACCCTCTGTTTATTGCACATACTACATGCAGAAATAAACTATTAAGAGTACCACACAATGCCTTTTTGAAGTTGCATTTGATTTGAAGCTATTCAGCATCTTTCAACCTGTGCCCCATTTCAATAATGACTATTTAATAATTACAATCATCCCCTTATTAGCTTGGCATTTCATTTTCCATGCCCTATGGCACCCTACAGTTGAAGGCAAGGAAAACTCTCTGTTGATTAGTTATTTAAGACCAGCAACAATAACTATGCTGGAGAGAAGGCTACTTGGAGCGGATTACATAAGAGCTGGACTCAACAGCTTCAGACAGAGAGCAGCAAATTATAAACCCAAGTACTTCGTTGCATGTAAGCAAATTGGCTAGCTGAAATGCTAATTGCCTTTCAGCAAAACTAAAGACAGACAGGGAACCTTGTACTTCAGAGAATGAAATGCATTTTTACTCCACTTCTGCACTATTGTCTTGCTGAGAATCGTTTGAAATCTATTCATTAAGGTAGCTCTTTCCCTAACCTTTAAATTGTGGGAATGTTATTTAGCTCCTACCACCACCACTAATGTGCTCATGTGCCAAGACTGGAACAGATGGTTGGACTTAAGCCATGTTAAGCCCCTAATAAAGTAAAGCATGAAAGAATTCCACTCCCAAATACATAGTACAAATCAAGAAAACATGCCCCAGGAAAAGGAATTTTAAATGACACATACATCTATGAAATGCAAATAATCAAATAATCTTTAAAACTAACATTTACAATATAAAGATATTCAAATACAGAGAGAGAGAGCTGGCATTGTCTCTCTCAAATAGAAGCCCCAGCCTTCCTCTATAACTAATAATTTTGTATTAGTTCAAAACTCATGGATGGACCACTATCCCAACAGTCAGTCTGACTCCTTTAGATGAAAGGAGGTCCATTTGAGTTTTCAGAACTCTGAATAAACGAATGAGAAAATGTCCTTTCAGCATCCTGCCCCCACTCTGAGGGACAGGCAGACTCACGCCTGACTGCACCAGAAAGGGCCCCGTGACCACCTGCCCGACAGCTGTGGGAGGGACTTGGCGTGGGACATGTTAAAGTGTATAGTGTCCCAGTGCAATCAGAAAACACAGCCTTTGTATTCCCACAGCCTCCTGCGTCCCAGTTCCACCCTCCTCCTCCTCTGCCACACCTCTTATCAGGACCACAGAGCTCCGTTGCTCTGGCTTCCTGTGTGGCCTGACATCCCAGCATATCAGAGAATCCTCCATACATTCAAAGATGCCTTCTGTCCCCCCAGTCCTGCCCGCTGAAGGGAAAAAAACAGTCTACATTATGTGGCAAAATCAACTTTCTGTACTACTTCATTCTGCATGAGAAGGAGACAGTTCAGTTTATTAGCGGCATGCTTATCTTCATTTCTCAGCAAACATCTTTGTTTATAGAACAGTTGAGTGAGAGAATGCTAAGACTAAATAGAGCTTTAAACCATCAACGGTTTAAATAAATAATTCAGCTCTCACCCTGATTAGGCAGGAGTCAACAGAAGGAAGATATCTCTCTGGCTGGCTAGTCATCAAAACCTTTGGATAGTGGAGTTCCTGGGGATTTTTCTTTTTTTTCTGTACCATTTGAATTTACTACATGAATTTGTATTAACTTTACAACTGGGAAAAAAGTCAGAGAGATGTGTACACTCAACTGTGTGTAATACTTAGCTGTCTGATTTTTTCCCCCCACGAAATCAGGGAAATGCCCATCCATCTCCACGGCAACATACTATATACATTTGATAGTAAAATTAAATAACCATCATCTGAGCAGCTTAATACGCTTTCTGAGCATGTATCAACTGTCCAGTTACTCTGTACATGAAGCCAAAGTAGTGATGGCATAGTGCTTCCACTGTGCAAACTCTGGATCCAGTGCATCAAAACTAGATCCAAACTCTGGACCCTTGTCACAGGTAAACAGGTGACAAAGCCATTTGTTCAACATATCACTTTGCTAAATCCTACAGATACTAGAGAAATACAAAATATACTCACTGTCCTCAAAGATTTTGCGTCCTAATTGGGGCAACCTTGAAATTTTCCATAACAGGAGGTCAGCAATATCAAGAAGAGCATCAGGCAGCATTTGGTTGAAAGGCAGTAAATTAAACATTTAATGACCAAGTTAATCTGTTAATATGCTTCTCACTTATTTGTTTCTGGGGATATACAGATCTAAAGTCATAAGTGGGAAAACAGAATATGTGACTTTAAGTGAGTCTCTTAACTTAGAAAGTTCCAGTTTCCCCAAATATAAAATAAAAGGGATGAGTCTAGTCTGGCTGCAAGCCTCCTCCCAGTGCTTACGGATTTCAATGCTATGTTCACAGCTTATGAGTTTCTGAGCAATAAAGGATCACACACCTAAGGTGAGTTAGAATGTGTTTTCTTTGTGGACCTTTCCAGAGCATAGGTCTTTCTGCTTCAGTTTCTTCATCTGCAAATCAAGTAATATTTGCCAATTAAATACAAAGCTGGTATATAGTGGACTTTTGAAAACTGTGGCATACTATTATCACTCATCATGGGAATATGTACAAAAGGGTTTAGTCACAGCTGATTCCTCTGTGAACACTTCTTCTTTGCATGTACCAAGGCCAACAATACCTCCAACTAGAAAGATATCTGAAATACTTTTGTGTAAACCTGGCCTCCCTCATATCATTTCTATCCATGATTATCACAAAAGTATTAGTGTTCCAAATATACCTTATGTTATCATTTTCTGACAATGAATATAATTAGCACTCAATATTTGATAAGTATATATATAACACAAACTATAACTGTTATTAAAATATAATAAAGGAGTAGCTAATTCATCATTTCTATGTCTGATGATATTAAGACTCCATGTTTTGTAATTTACTTTCACCTCCATCACGGACTTACATTCTGCTCTACAGTTATTTACATTATCTAGTCTACAATTACTGGCATTATCTGTAAACTGGGTAATACTATTTAATTTACATCTTGTTGTGAGTGTTAAATAAACTATATAAAGGGCTTCTCAGAATTCATTAGATAGCAAGTATTCAATACTGGGCAACTGCTATCGTCACTCATCATGGAAACAGGAACATGGACCAGTTTGGGTCACACTTATTTCCAGTGTATACATTTTGGTTACTCCTTTTTTTAAAGTTATAATCTTGAGATATTTCATTTCTAGCTGAATTAAGTCATTTCAAGCACCTAGTCCAATCCCTTTACTTTATAAATGAAGAAACTAAGGCACAGAAGGGTGAACGAATGTCCAAAGTCACTGTATTAATGGCAGAGCCAGGATGTTGTATCTAAACACATATATTTAAAATGTTTTACTGCAACACAATTCAAGGCGTACTTGGCATTTCCCTACAGACTAGGAAATAACCCCCAAACAAACAGATTGCTGGAGTTCACTTGTATCATTACTAGACAAAGAACATCTTTTTTTCCTTTTATATGTTTTATGGTTCTATCTGGCTCTTTTGATAAATGACACATCCAGGAGGGAAAAGAACTTTAGTAATATAAGGTAATAACTTCAGCAACCATTTGCATATAATGTTGAGTGTCTTAAAGTACATTTTTTGAGCTTTATTCTAATTGACAGTAATTATGCATCGTTAAGATCTGATATCAGTAATCTCTAAAACAGTGAACAGCTAACATATAAACACATTACACACATTTTTAAAGGCTGTGGATTCTGTGAAACGTGAAAAGATGGCTTAAAAGAAAAGTTATACAGAATAAGTAAACACGGCACCTTAAAATCAGCTTTTCCCCTTGATGAAAACTGCCATAATTTCTTCAGTTTTGGTTTCAAGAAAAAAAATCAATTTTGAAACAGTTTAAAACATTAAAAATGGGTAAGTTTTTAATACACATTATTCTACAGTTCCAGGCTAATTCCTGCTTTCCTGAAATCAATTCCCTGAAAGTTCTTCGACTGTGGAGGTTGTTTTGGAACCTAAAGACTCTTTCAATTTATCTCAACCTTCCCGTTATTAATTATTATCTAATGCGCGCCTTAGATAGATCTAGAGATCAGTTGTTTTTTAAGCAGACTGTCTAAAACTCAAGCCGGAATTAAAGTTTCAAACAGGCAGAAAGAGAAGAAAACTTTTATTTCCCTCCGTTCGCTCGCTTCCCACCTTCCGTGAGATGAGGCGGCTTCGGCGGGGGCGGCTGGGGATCGCCACGCCAGCTGCCCCGCCGGGACGGCAGGAGGTGTGGCCGCGGGCGGCACGCCTGGATGAGCCGCAGCGCGTGGCTCGCTCGCCGCCCACACCACCCGCAACAGGTGCGGGCGAGCCACCCCGCACGGCCGGGATGCTGCGGCGCTCCCGCGGGCCACCCCGCGGCTCGCAGGACCACCCCGCAGAGCCACCGCCTACCTGGCCCCGGGGACACCGACATCCGCGCGCGCCCTGAGGTCCCCGCCGAGCCTCCCTTCGCCCGATCCTCGCTCCGCCTCCCGCTCGCGTCCGCACACTTCGCCCGGGTGCTGCCAAGTCTTTCCCCCGCGGTCGCATCAGGAAGGTGGCTCCATCCTCCCCCGCTCACCCTCCCCTTGGCCTCCTCCAGCTGCTCCAATCGGACACGCGGCTCCCAGGGCTGCGCTCACCTGACCAGCGGAGCGGGGGTGGCCGCCCAAGGCGGCGCGCCCTCGTCTGCGCAGCGGGCTGCCAGGTCCGGCCCTCCGGCGGCCGGAACGCCCTGCCTTGGCCGTCCCTAATGGACTCTTCCAGCAGCCCGGCGCCGAGCTGACCTGCCGACGCGCAGCAACGCGCACGTCCTGCAGCTGCAGCGCCTCTAGGACCTCGGGAGCGAACCGTGCTTTATGATAGACCGCTTTGACTCAGCTTGCTAGTTTGTCCCCTTGGGCACAAGAATCACGCGCACCTATGCAGCAGGGCACTATGCCCTACGTACAACCCTGGGGGCAACTGCTGGTTTTCTTTCCGCAGAGACAGCTCATGTACTGAGTCTTATTTCGTTCCTAAAAAGGCATTCCTTTTAACGTTGAAGCGCTCCATAGATGGTCACCTCTTGAGAACTTGCGTGTGAATTGGAGAAATGTTAGAAATGAGGAATCTACTCCCACATAACACTTCTAAGTACAAACTGAGGTCAACATCTAAGTTATCTGCCTCCTCGTTTATACAATAGGATTATTAATTCTTACTTAAGAAGGCTGTTGGAAGGATTAGATGAATGAGATTCTGTGAGGTGCAACTCTTTACACCTGGCACTTGGTAAAAAATGTTTGCAATTATTTGTTCAGCTTGCAAGGTCAAACCATCTCATCAGCAACGTGCAACTCACCTTCTGCATCAGAAATTTTTAAAGCACAGGAAGGATTATTAGAATTTATAGAAATTTGAAACCAGGAGGGAGATTGAAATTAGCAATTACCTGTCTAATACCACCTCACCGCAGATTTTATGGTCGAAAAAATAAAATACTAGCTGATTGAGGGGCTTAGTTAAAGGCATAATGAGGACTAGGTCCTAAGGTTCCTATTTCCAAACACTCCCCATGTAGGTACCCTTCCTAGCAAATGAGATGACTGCAATTGTGTGGTAGTTTGAACATTCTTTGGCATTGTCTTTCTTTGGGATTGGAATGAAAACTGACCTTTTCCAGTCCTGTAGCTACTGCTGAGTTTTCCAAATTTGCTGGCATATTGAGTGCAGCACCTTAACAGCATCATCTTTTAGGATTTGCTCAACTGGAATTCTGTCACCTCCACTAGCTTTGTTCATAGTGATGCTTCCTAAGGACCATTGACTTTGCATTCCAGAATGTCTGGCTCTAGGTGAGAGATCAAACCATCCTTTTTTTTTTTTTTCATTTATTTTTATTAGTTGGAGGCTAATTACTTTACATCATAGCAGTGGTTTTTGTCATACATTGAAATGAATTAGCCATGGATTTACATGTATTCCCCATCCCGGTCCCCCCCCCACCTCCCTCTCCACCCTATCCCTCTGGGTCTTCCCAGTGCACCAAGTCCGAGCACTTGTCTCATGCACCCAACCTGGGCTGGCGATCTGTTTCACCCTAGATAATATACATGTTTCGATGCTGTTCTCTTGAAACATCCCACCCTTGCCTCCTCCCACAGAGTCCACAAGTCTGTTCTATACATCTGAGTCTCTTTTTCTGTTTTGCATATAGGGTTATCGTTACCATCTTTCTAAATACCATATATATGTGTTAGTATACTGTAATCCTTATTATCTGGGTCATGAAGATCTTTTTTGTACAGTTCTGTGTATTCGCCACCTCTTCTTAATATCTTCTGTTTCTGTTAGGTCCATACCATTTCTGTCCTTTATTGTGCCCATCTTTGCATGAAATGTTCCCTTGGTATCTCTAATTTTCTTGAAGAGATCCCTAGTCTTTCCCATTCTATTGTTTTCCTCTGTTTCTTTACATTGATCACTGAGGAAGGCTTTCTTCTTTCTCCTTGCTACTCTTTGGAACTCTGCATTCAAATGGGTATACCTTTAGCTTCTCTTCTTTTCACAGCTATTTGTAAGGCCTCCTCAGAAAACCATTTTGCCTTTTTGCGTTTCTATTTCTGGGGAATGGTCTTAATCACTGCCTCCTGTACATTGTCATGAACCTCTGTCCATAGTTCTTCAGGCACTGGGTCTATCAGATCTAATCCTTTGAACCTATTTGTCACTTCCACTGTATAATCATAAGGGATTTGATTTAGGTCACACCTGAATGGCCTAGTGGTTTTCCCTACTTTCTTCAATTTAAGTCTGAATTTGGCAATAAGAAGTTCATGATCTCAGCCACAGTCAGCTTCCGGTCTTGAATATAATCAACCTGATTTCAGTATTGACCATCTGGTGATATCCATGTGTAGAGTCTTCTCTTATGTTGTTGGAAGAGGGTGTTTGCTATAACCAGTGGGTTCTCTTGGTAAAACTCTGTTACCTTTGCCCTGCTTCATTTTGTATTCCAAGGCTAAATTTACCTGTTATTACAGGTATTAGGAGCTAGCAAAGTAATGCTCAAAATTCTCCAAGCCAGGCTTCAACAGTACATGAACTGTGAACTTCCAGATGTTCAAGCTGGATTCAGAAAAGGCAGAGAAACCAGAAATTAAATTGCCAATATTTGTTGGATCATCAAAAAAGCAAGAGAATTCCAGAAAAGCATCTACTTCTGCCTCATTGACTATGCTAAAGCCTTTGTGTGGATCACACAAGCTGTGGAAAATTCTTCTAGAGATGGGAATGCCAGACCACCTGCCTGCCTTCTGAGAAATCTGTATACAGGTCAAGAAGCAAGTTAGAACCAGACATGGAACAATAGACTGGTTCCAAATTGGGAAAGGAGTACATCAAGGCTGTATATTGTCACCCTGCTTATTAACTTATATGCAGACTACATCATGTGAAGTGCTGGGCTGGATGAAGCGCAAGCTGGAATCAAGATTTCCGGGAGAAATATCAATAACCTCAGAAATGCAGAGGACACAACCCTTATGGCAGAAAGCGAAGAAGAGCTAAAGAGCCTCTTGATGAAAGTGAAAGAGGAGAGTGAAAAAGTTGGATTAAATCTCAACATTCAAAAACTAAGATCATGGCATCCAGTCCCATCACTTTGTGGCAAATAGATTGGGAAACAATGGAAACAGTGACTTTTTGGAGAGGGCTCCAAAATCACTGCAGATGGTGACTGAAGCCATGAAATTAAAAGACGCTTGCCCCTTGAAAGAAAAGCTATGACCAATCTAAACAGCATATTAAAAAGCAGAGACATTACTTTGCCCACAAAGATCTATCAAGTCAAAGCTATGGTTTTTCCAGTAGTCATGTATGGATGTGAGAGCTGAACTATAATGAAAGCTGAGCACCGAAGAATTGATGCTTTTGAACTGTGGTGTTGGAAAAGACTCTTGAGAGTCCCTTGGACTACAAGGAGATCCAACCAGTCAATCCTAAAGCAAATCAGTCCTGAATATTCATTGGAAGGACATGCTGAAGCTGAAACTCCAATACTTTGGCCACCTGATGCAAAGAACTGACTCATTGGAAAAGACCCTGATGCTGGGAAAGACTGAAGGCAGAAGGAGAAGGGGACAACAGGGGGTTAGATGGTTGGACAGCATCACTGACTCGATGGACAGGAGTTTGAGCAAGCTCTAGGAGTTGGTGATGGACAGGGAAGTCAAAGAATCAGACATGACTGAGTGACTGAACTGAATTGAACCGAACTGAGGTACCCTTCCTAAGGAAGGGTATAGGAATAGGAATAACTAGAATATTTCTTTGAACTCCAAACTGCTATTCTGGAGTACTAATTTAGCATTATTATGAACTGTTGTGAAGTATATCATCTCGAAGCTGCAACAGTCAACAGACGGCATCAAAGCCAAAAGTTATTCAGGCAAAAGTGTTCTGCTAGAGAGATCATGTGGGAATGCAAATGAGGCACTTCAGAACTTAAGAACAGGTGGTAAGAAGAGCGATCTAAATGATCAAGAGGATTGAACAGTTTCCCTCTGAGGCTCAGCTACAAAGGTGGAGCTGGGTCTAGAAGCTGTAAATTCATGAGGCGTTATTAACAGAGTAAACATAGACTTGCTTACTATATACTGCAATAGAAAAACAAACTTGAAAAAAAAAAGAAAAACAAACTTGAAGACAAATTAGAGTCAAAATAATGAAACAGTTGTATTGATAATGTGAAACAGAAAACAATATTAGAAAAATATTTTTTACATTAACTATTGTAAACATGTGTCTACTCTATTAATACACCCCATGGATTTACAGCTCCTAAATTATTTCAGACCTCTTGTAGCTTCTTGATTGTTTAAAATATCTTACTGAAATATATATTCAACCCACAGTTTCATTGTATTGTTAGGATGGTTAAAAGCTTTCTGTGCAAAAAAAAAAGAAAGCTTTCTGTGCATGCTAAGTAGCTTCAGTCCGACTCTGCGACCCTATGAACTGTAGCCAGCCAGGCTCCTCTGTCCACGGGGATTCTCAAGGCAAGAATACTGGAGTGGGTTGCTGTGCCCTCCTCCAGGGGATCTTCCCCACCCAGGGATCGAACCCATGTCTCTTATATTTCCTGCATTGGCAGGTAGGTTCTTTACCACTAGCACCACCTGGGAAGCCTGCTTAAAGTCTTTATTTGCAGCTGTATATTACTTTACTGAGACCACAACAAAGTCAGTGTTTATCAATGAACTATTCTGTGTTAATCCTTGTTTCACCAGGTTCCATTCTGCACAACTGGACTTAGCATACATTCTCATTCTGTGGGTGACGTTGCCCTAGGCCTTGTGATGGGTCAAAATGAAAACATAGGCCCACTCTTCACAAAGCTTCCCCTGGGAACTAAGTAATTCATTAACAATTATTACTACGTGTTTAGGAAGCAGAAAACACAGGAAGGCACTGCGGGAAACACAGTGATTTCTACATCACAACCCTGAATTTGTGAGATTGTGGGGTACGTCACTGAGGTTGCACTCTCGCTAGGGTGAGAGTTTAATGAACCACAAAGCAGAATATGCCAAGCAGAAAAATGAGCATCCCAGAGAGTACTGGAAATGCTTCAACAGCAAGAGAATATATGGAAAACTGAAAGCTTCTCCCAAAAGCTGAAAAATAAACCACAACAAACCGTACAGCTGATATTCTTAGTAGAGTCCCATGCATGTGCAGGCATGCTAAGTTGCTACAGTCGTGTCCAACT